TTGGATGGGGGCCGGAGTCCCGGGGGGGCAGACAGGAGGTGGGGGCCGGGCCACAACTCTGCCCCTAACTAGCCCTCCATACAATTTCTGAAACCCGATGCAGCCCCCAGGCCAAAAAGTTTGCCCGCCCCTGGGCTACACTATTCTTGTGCGTTACCAATTTACAATACTTCAAGCCACATAAGACAAACTATTTAAAATGCTTCCCTGCATGTGAACTTATAGAAGCCAAAGTCATATTCACAAGTCTACAATAAGCACCACATTCCCAATATCTGGCTCAACAATTGATGGACATTTGGCAGGCGTGATGCAGGCATCTCATATATGAGAGTGAAACCCACAGCTTATTGAGAAGGAAATACCTGTCAGCTTTATAACTGCACAGCTTTTATCATCAGTTTGTTAATTTGTGATTAAAGGAATAGATGCAAACCATTCAATGGCTGAATCAAAATAATCAGTATTTTTCAAAAATATTCTCAAAAACAAAAAGAACACAGAGTACTTACCCTCATCATAAGGCAGTGGTAAATGATTTAATACACCTCGTGTCCACCAGTAGGTATAGCTATGGGAGGGAGGAAATTCACACATGGAATTGACTTTATTATAATATTTTCTACAGAAAATAAACATTCAATCTACTATCACATCTAAAAACATGCACACCACTTTTTATACACTGTACAGTGACCAAATTGTGCATGGTGGTTTATACTGCAGGGGTGAGAGAAAGGAAAGAACCATCACTGGCCTAAGAAGTTCAACAGTTCCCAGTCGTGCAACTGCACCTTTGTGGACAGACCCCTAAAGTCAGTGGGGCTCTATGCAGGTGCAGCAGTTTGTCTGCACAGAGCTACATTTACTTCAGGTGTCCAACTGTTTGGAAGCAGTTGCAGGATTGGCGCCTAAGACATAATGCATGGAGGGAGATCAAAAGAAGCATGTGGAGAGGGTGTCTGAGAAAACAATGGTCATAACAATGCAAAAACTATCAGATACGCTTACTGGTTAACATCTTTCTGGTCCTTTCTTTTTTTTTTTAAATAATGTTAACATTAAGGTTTTAAAATTTGAAGAGAGAGTATGGAGTGTGGAGATCAGCAATAATATTTATCAATAAACATTTGGCAAACTTTGACAATTTGCAAAGATTTGTGAAAAATACAAAATAAGCTGGCTTCCTGACAGGAGCATTGATATTCTTAAAAAGAAACTGACAGGAGATCTGATTCTTAGATCTGTATGATTAACAGAGTGCTTCATTACTGGAATATTTAACAACAAAGAAAGTGCTCTAGCCGCTCTCACTGAATGAAAATCAATAACCTACTGGAAAACAAAATGAAGCATAAATGAAGCTTGCTTTTTCTTTCAGCTATTCATATTTACGTTTCCAACTTTTCCTCATAATTATATCTGTAATTTTTTTTCTAAATTATACCGACACCATTCCTGGAAGGAAAAAAAAGAGTTCTCTTTATGGCTTTTATTTGAGACACCATGTGATCCTAAATATTAAAGATCAGATCCTACCTAGGCTAATTCAGTGATCAGCAGCACACTCACTGTGGGAGTTTCGCTACCCAGATCCCTGTCGTATACATTTTTATACCACGCTTATTGCAGTAGTATCTGAGAGCCTTCCAGGTATGCACTAAACAACGTGAACACATCCATCACGTTTGTTCTCTCATCCTCTCCCCCGAAGCAGAAGTGTGTGCAGTGAAGTGTCTTGTTTTGGTAGGGTGTATGTTATTTTTTTCTCTCTCTTTAAAAAAAATATAAATATACCTTTTATATGTTAGAGAAGGCACGGTCAAAGAAAGGTGCCTTGCATTTGTAGCGGAAAGTGGTGAGGTTCATGACAGTCATTAGTTCCTCCACAGTCCCAGACTGCACTCGGAGAAAGTTCTGTCTCCTGGACAGACAAGCTTTACTTTTATTTTTGAGAGTTCCATTGCACCAGAGAAGCATAATTGTTGGCCACGGCCTTTTAGGTATCACAGCCCCAGGCCATAGAGTGCTTTGAAGATAAGGACAAAGACCTTGAACATGATTCAAAATTCTATGGTAAGACAATATAAAGACCTGAGGACTTTGCTCATGGTAGTGTGTGTTGCTGAGGAGATGAACTGCAGTGTTATGAACTAGCTGGATTTTCCTAAGTGCTAAAGCCCTCATGACAGGGCACACTGCATTGCTGTAATCCAGTTGAGAGGTGAACGAAGGCATGAATAACTAAAGGCCAGAACTTCATCTGCCAGAATCGAATGGAGCTTCCTTGCCAAGGGAAGATAGTAGCATCTGTGAGAAATGCTTTCTATGTGAGAACTTAGTGTCAGAAGAATTCAAGAGAACTCCTAGACTATAGACTGACATGACCAATTGTGGTTGTAGATCTTCAACAAACAAAGACTGCACTGTGGCTGTAAGCTCTTCAAAATACTTTCCTCTGGCCACCAGCATCACCTCTGTTTTTCTTGGGTTCAGCTTCAGTCAGCTGTTCAAGAGCTGATCTCACCTAAGCACTGTCTTGCTGCTGGCACTGAGGATGAGCTGGGTGTCAGGGGAAGAGCCCAATTTCCAGGATTCCAGACTCCTTCCATTTTGTTCTCTCTCCATGAATTCAAGAGGAAGTGTATACCACTCATGAAATATTTTCTTTCTGAATGAAAGAGGAGAAAGGCCTGGGAAGTGGAAAGAAGTTTCTGTTGCAGCAAGTTACTTTTTCCCCCTCTCTTCCCCTGGCCCCAAACATAGTATTTTTCATCATTTTTATTTTATTGTCATAGTGGCCACGGGCCCCAGTCATGACTGGAACCCCTGCGGCTGCCTGCCCTCCCTATACACCCACTTATGTTGTGGTGTGGTGCAGCAATGACTATCTCTACTTCCCTCCAGGCCTTCCGCTGATCTGCCCAGCCTCCACCACATTCCAGGTTGAGCAGATTTAGTGCTCCAGTTAGGGTACGTAACATTTCCACTACTTCTGCAGTATCCAAAGTCGAAAATTAACAAAACAAAACAACTCTTCTGTGTGTACTAAGTGAAGGCCCTAATAAAGGCCCAGTACGAGGCCTGAGGCCTGAACTAAAGAAATGGTCAAGACTTTGCTAACATAAAGCAAAGTTAAGCTGTGAGCCAGAGGCAGGCCCTGCTCACAGAAGCTGGCAAGGAAAGGGCTGATGCTGCAAAAAGAGACATACCTAAAAGGTACTGGACACCAGATATCAGAACACACACCATATTGGAACATTCCACAGATAACATGGAACAGGCCGACCCATCTCAATGACAGGGGCAAAAGGGTAAAATGATGGATAGAGTTGTTTTGTTCGAACCAACATGTACAAGGTGAGAGGCAGCACCTGATTACGTAGAGGGGTTGCACCTCAATACGTCAGGAGTGATGTGTAACTTGTTTGTATCGGTGTATAAGAATGCATCCCTGAGTGGATATCTTTGTCCGGCCGAGGGGGCAGTGGAAAGTCCTGCCACTGAGCCGGGTCCATTGCCAAGAGGCACTTTCTCATAGTATGCCCTGAGTTAGGCTAAGAAATCTACAGGGAACTGCAATTGTGTCCAAGGTCGCAATAAACCTAGTCGACATGACTTTGCATCTTACTAGACTCTGTGGTTATTGGGGGTTCTCTTCGGGTCTGCTGGGTCAGTTATCTGCGCAGAGCTGGGGCAGCACACAGAGGGAACACACACACGCAGCCGAGTGATATTAACATAGGAGAAAGCAGAGCACCACACCGGTAGCATCTGACAACACTGTGCCTTTTGGGCTCTTTGCACCTCCCAGGCTCTGCAGTGTACCAAGCAAACAAATGATTCTATGCAAGTTTAAAGTCAATTGTTGATAGCCAAACATGGCAATCATCTTGGACCAAGCCTATCTTCCATTGTGGGAGCTCTGATAAGCCACAGTCTTCCTCAGTTCCTGGCTCCAGCCCGGCTTCTCTTCCGCAGTAAGAGAGCTGAAGGTCTAAACCAGCCTTCAACTGACAGGGGCTCGCCCCATTTAGCTCCTTCCTTGACGCTTGATGCATGCTTCTGGTGTCATGGGTGGGGTTGATTTGGCCCCCAATCGCATATTAACCCCTTCCTGACTCAAATTCTGTTTGTACACACAGTCACAGCCCCAGTTTCCTTGGTGCTGTACAAATACATCTGATTGTGTCTTCTTAAGAGATCACAATTTAATCTGGCATAAGCAAACAGATAGACAAGAGACTGACGATATAGAAATATATATCTATATCTCAGTTATCTACAGTATCTACTGTACTCAGAAGGCATTATTTCCACATGAAACAATTTTGCCTGTATATTATGAACTCTAATCAGAAAAACTAAAAATGACAAATTCTGACCAGAAGAATATGTGTGTGTGTGTGTATATATATATATATATATACACACACACACACACACAACC